GTCCGCAAATGGGAGGCATAAAAAGACCCGTAGGACCGCCGGGAAAAGATGGCCGCGATGGAGATCAGGGAAACCCAGGACCTAAGGGTCTAACAGGTCCGAAAGGGATACGTGGGATGCAAGGACCGCAAGGGCGACAAGGCAGTCAGGGCGATAAGGGGGAGATAGGACCGCAAGGACTGAAAGGTCCAAGGGGGGTACAAGGAGAGGAAGGAGACGTAGGAAGGATGGGAATGGGATAAAAGCGACAGGCAATGGAATTAGTGGAAGATATCGATAATTTTATCGTTATTATATAATAAAAGACTTTTCGAAATTTAACCATTTTGAAATCAAACAAAAGAAGAAATAAAATATTCTTTCTCTTTCACTGTGCAAAGCATTGGAAATTGTATATTTGCTTGAAATTTCCGCCTTTCTTAAATGATAAAAAGGCTCATTAACATATAAGGAAGATTGATATTCACAACAATTCAACTAATTTTAGGTACAAAAATTATTGAACTGAAAAAGAATGAAAGAGTGAGGTAAAATGAGAGATCCAGTTTGGAGTGTTAGAAAAATATTAAATTTTATTATGTCAATAACCTCTTCTTCATATTGCAATAATGCAATCAGTTCGTTTATTTGCTAACTTAAGTATAATTTTACCAATTTCTGCGCAGCGGAATGATAATTCAAATTTCAGCCCTCTGATCAATTAATAATGTATTCATTATAAAAAATCTTTCGCCGTTTCTGTTAGTCATCTATCCTCCTTGTTTCTGTTCCAATTATTCCAATTGTGATTTCATTGATCAGTTAATGACAAAATGACCGATCGTGTTATTATTCTTGTGGTCAAATAACATCTGCCATCAGTTGACAATTATTCAATTTTCGATTTACGCTGCCTTCAAGGTTGTTAAAGTTTTGATGAATTCATTTTTTCCTGTCATTTAATTTTCTCACCTCATTTTCATGCACTATTTCTTTATTTCAATTAATTCACTTAACACTCCCTTCATCCATTTGACATTCATCCCTTACTAGCATGCAATGGCTTCAATTCATCCTCAGCACACTGCTTCACTTAAAATAAGCTTATGGTCAACATTACTGACCATTATCCATTCATTTTTCAATGGTCCTTCCATCTTTAGTCGTTTAAAAATAAATATTTCCGACAGTGCAACATCTAACTCGCTATGTAATTTTTATCATTGAAACGTTTAGGATCGTTTTGTAAAAATTGGAAACATGATATTGCTTAAGACAGTTTCGAATTTAAAACACGTGTTTGAAGCACTTAAAGAACTTCATTAAGCTCAGAAAACCAACTGAAAGTTCGATTCGAGAAATTCTATCAAAAATATTTGGAAATGTTGCACAATGACAAATTGCGATTTGAAAATATAACAAAGCTTTGCTCCTAAAATTTTTAAATTTTATATTCCAACATTTATAATCAAATTTCTTTAAAGCATCGGCAACAATTTTAGGTCTATGAACTTTGTGACACAATAGTAAGAACACATTAGCGATAGAATAATGCAAAAAAAAGCAGCTAAAATAAGAGGACTGATATCACCGAATAGGAAGGCTGTTACTTCATTATTTACAACAAATTTCATATTCCGTTCCTACCTACCAGCGGCACCCGCTGGTCCTTTTGTTCCCATTGGTCCTTCGATACCTTGTGGTCCCTCTGGACCTCTTTAACCTTGCACTCCACTTGGTCCTCGCTCTCCTTACTCTCCAAGTGGTCCAAGTGGTCCTCGAGGACCTTTTATTCCCCTCGGCCCTTCAGGTCCCTCTTCTCCATCAGGTCCATCCGGTCCTGGTGGTCCTGGCTCCATCTTTCTCATCTGTGATGGAATGCATGCCTTAAAAAATTCATGCATATTTGGTATTCTATCAAGGGTTACATTGGGACATAATCTTTACTATAGAAACAATTCATTGGGGAACTTACTTGCGCAACGAAAACAGCGCAATTGACCAATAGGAAAGTACTGAAAAGGTGCATTGGTCTGAAAAGGTACAAAATCAGAAATTGAGTGTATTCGTAGGTAGTTGAAAATTTCCGAAATTTCTTTTAAAATTTCATTATTTCGATGTTTCATAAAAAAGGAGAAACAGTGCCAAAAAATTCTATTAGATTTTATAGCATACAATTCCCTAAAGGAAATCATAAGTGATATGTCAGAATTCCAAAATTCCATTTAATGATTGTAATACTTTCGAAACAATAAACTATAATTAGCTGATTAGAGTAAAGAAAAGTCACTTGATATGAGTAAGAGAGAGCCTAAAGGCTAAATTAAATTAAATGAAGCACATTTTAACCTGAAATTTTTAATTTACATCAGGGTAGAATACCTGGCATGAATTATTCCGAAATTTACGAAACAATGAAATACTTTGGAATTCTTCGTGAAGTGATCGTATCGGATGCAGCATAAAAAGATTAATAGCGATATCTGTAAATGCTAAATGGACATTTCATGCGATGATTCAAAGTGAATGGAAAGAAGATTCTCTTGATTGATAGGAGATCAACGGTTGCTGGATCAATCCGAAAGGAGGGATGGAAGAGCAGGTTTAAAACTTTCGAATAGAGTAAGTGATATATCATTAGCGCCGGTTATTTACAGTTGATTAGTCTTGCAGGAATTTCTGAGAACCTATGAATTGTTCAGTTATGATTTCCCTAATCTGACTTATTTGCTGCGTTTAATTAATATTATAAAATAGAAAAATATGAAAGTACGAAATTCATATGGCTTTTTTCAGCGTTCTTCCTTGTCATATCGTATAAATTTGTTAGTTTTACCTGCGCTTCAATTGTTTATTTTTATACTATCCTTTTTTACCAGTAATTTTCAAGTGAAGTTTGATTCAATTTTGAAAACGATAGACTAAAGTTCAGTAATAGTGTTCGAATCGAATCGAAATGCGGTTCTGCACACATCGTCGAAAATATTCATGAAAAGGTATCCCAATCTACAGATAGCACATTTTCATCGGAAGTCTCACTAGAACTGACTTCATCAACTGATTTTTACGAATTAGAATATCGTCACCATCGTTAAAAGAGGACTGCTTCACCAAGTGGGTAGGCAAGTTACTTCGTTATTTACGACAGATTTCATGTTCCATTCCTATCCATCCGCTGGTCTTTGTATTCCTTGCGGTCCTTCATCATCTTGTGGTCCTTGCTCTCCCGGTGGATCCTGGATTCCCTTTAACCTTATCCTATGGAAGCATCAAAATGGACCGTTGGGAATAATTTACACTCATACCATCATGATATTTTTGGTGTCTTGTTTATAACTAATTAGCGCTTTCTTCCCATTTCAATCAATATTCGTACCTCATTTACATGTAACGATCTCAATTCTTTAACATCGATGGAAGGACTGATATCGTAGTTATCATTCCACTGCGTGGAAATTATAGCTGGCTTTTCTATAGAAAGCAATAAGACTCCAAAATCTTTCATATTGACTAAGTGTGAAAAAAAATATGTCGGAAACGTTGCAACAAATTAGAGTGAAATTTTACAATAAAAAACAAATGCAGCCGACAGCTGAGCTTTCATTAAGTTTGTATAAGGTCGTTAACTTTAATTGAAACTTTCTGAGGCATTTTATGGAATAATTAACTTGCAAATAGCAGATATCACTCAAATTGCCAACTTACTACTGTTTCTCGAAGATTCAAAACCTGTTTTTCCTCCCACCTACCGGATTAATCTACCAACCGTTAATCTATAATCCAACCGAATTTTCTTTCCGTTCACCTTGAATCGTTTAGCTCCCACAGATACCGTCAATAACCATTTACTTTCTTGCATTCGATATAATTATTTCACAAAGAATTCTTGAAATGTTTCTTTGTTTCATGAATTTTGGAATGAATCATATCAAACATCCAACTTTGCAGTATAAGTAGAAAGTTTCCCGTCGGAACATTGCTGATTTTCAACCTTAAATAGTAAAGCCTTTTGTCGCATTTTTGACGATACTACAAATTTTTGGCGGATTTTTTAAATTGCAATATATCAGTTGCAACCTTTTTATAGAAAGGACTGTAAAGAAGAAATAAATCTGATAAGTCTAAAATTTCTGTTGAACCCGTCTTCTGAATGATCCAAAATACCTCTATTCGCATACTTTTTCCTTACAGAAATATAAATTTTTTTATCGAAATATGAAACATCGAAAATCTTAACATTCGAAAAAAATCTACAAATTCTCAATTGTTATACATGTGGTCAATTTCAGGTTGTCACTATTAATGCACCTTTTCAGTACTTTTCTATTGGTTTTTTGTGCTGTTATCGTGATTCAAGTATGTTCTCTAATGGATTCTTTTTAAGTTAGAAGAAGAAATATGTTTGATGTTATGCTTCTAATTATTTGCAAAATTTTATTTTTAGGCTTGCAGCCCACTGATGGGGTCAGGTGGAGAAGGAGCAGAAGGCGAATCGCAAGCACTACTGCCGGGACCACCAGGGCGAGATGGACGGGAAGGACCTCGAGGGAAGCCAGGAATGCAAGGGGAAGATGGTCTGCCAGGACCACGAGGGATACCAGGACCACCAGGTCAACAAGGTGAGCCAGGTATCAGAGGAGAAAAAGGACCGAAAGGATTGAAAGGTCCACGAGGGCCACAAGGAACCGCAGGGGCTATGGGAGCAGGATAAAAGCAGCAAGCGGTAAAGGCAACGGAATTTAATAGAGATATCGAAGCAATCCCTGACAGTGAAGTCGTTTTCTTTATTTTGGTATTTTGTGCGCACCAACGTATCGTTGATATTCCTTTCTTTTTGTACCATAACATTCGTAGCATGAAAGTGTTGTCATCAATGCCTTTGCAAAATTTGCTTACTTATATGTTTTCAAATCACAATGTTATAAGCAAATTTGAATAGTAAGAAACTTCTCGAAATTTGACTGATTTTGAAATAAATATTTCGCATCCTTTGTGTACAGTAATATTATAACCAGGAAGAGATTGCATATATTCAATGAATTTAACTTTTTATTCTTATTACAAAGAATCTCTAACCCTTTCTAATATTTAACTACCTGGGATAGGATGTAAATCAAAAAAACACACATCAATTTTGTTGTAAATCAAAACAACGCAAAACCTAAGAAAGCCACAATATGTTATAGCAATGAAAATATATTGGTTTAAAGCATTTTTAGATAACAGGTTTATCACACTATACAAAAATGTATTATAACGCTTTCCCTGATCCGGTGATGAATGTGTTATTTGATTTAGATGCTTTATTTAATTTGAATGTGTAATGTGAAAGATTCTACGCACATCCGACAAGCTATATTCTTTGTATAAAATATTTCCTTTTATAAATATGAGAGAATGAAGAGTATTTTTGTACCCACTGAACATAAGGGAATTTCCTTCCAACGACAAAGAATTTAACGAGAAAACACTAAATATGATGGAAGCAAAATTAAAACCATGGATTAAAAGGAAATTTACTAAAACAATGATTTTAAAATTCGCTGCTTCACATGTAATCCTTAGTTCCTTCGATGATATAATTCGAACTATTTATCCAACATTTATAGAAAGAAAACAAATCATGTTTTAAATGAAAAATATGTACTACACTAGAATGCATTAATTAAGGAGTGGCCAACAAAGTAAACAAGATCTCAATTCTTTAACATCGATGAAAGGACTGATATTGTAGTTATCATTCCGCTGCGTGGAAATTGATATTATAATTCTATTTCAGTGAATAGGTAAACAAACTGATAACTATAATATTATAGCTGACATGGTCAAAACTGGCTATAACACAGCGGAATGAATATTGGTAAGCCATGCTCAATCGAAAGGAAACACAAAAGAGAAAATAAACACATGGAGCTTGTGCCAAGATGAAACTAACAAATATCCTATCTATTTACCAAATCACAGCAACATTAGTGGGCTTCTCATTAGGCAACAACATGAAATATATCACGCAGGAATCGCTTACACTTTTTGCGAATTGAGGCGAAAATTCTGGATATCGAAAGGAAGATCTGCAGTTAAACGGGCCATATCTTGATATATGAATCGCAGGCATTGGAGAACTAAAGCATTCAAACTGCCTACAATGCCCAAACCTCCCAATGAGAGTGAAGCGATCAAGAACCTTCGTAAAGGTTTCATTTAGATTATATGGGGAAACAAATCAGATATTCAAATAGTTAAAGATGGATAGTTCTTTTCACATATTTTACTATAAGAGCAGTGAATCTCGAACTGGCAGAAAACTTGACCACCGAAAATTTTATGCACGTTTTAAGAAGATTCATTGCTTGATGTGAATATTCGAAGTTTGTCTTAAGCGATAATAGCAGTCAGTTTTAATTGGTTAACAGTAAAGAGATTGGTATGGAAAAACAACGAACCCAAAGCATCACGGGGTGGAGATGTATACGAACGAATTATCGGACTTACCAAAAAGGCTCTGAGAGTAATAGAGAGGAAATCTTTAGAAGAAAGAGAGGTAACTTTGATAGCAGAAATAGGAAAATACTTAATACTCGCCTAATAACATATTTAAGTTTTGGTGAGTTATGTGTCAAACTGATTTTATCTCACCTGACACTTCATTGTGTATACCAACTAATTATGACAATAAATTTATTGTCATAAGACGAATATATTCCTTATTCGAGTTTACAGTAAACGACATTTGTAAATGGAATCCTGATATTTCCTTAATATCCATCAGAAATGGAATTGCGAGAATGCAGAACTTCGCATTAATTAAAGTGACGGTCTGCACACGGACTCATGAATGGATATTCGCAATAAAATGCAGTAAGTCATTAATGCAGTATGTACGAAGCCTTTATGAGATTCTTCGGGAATATGGATAGCGAGCAACAACATATGTATGGTTGGAAATCCGATGCCAATCAGCTACGAATTTCTTACTCAGATCCTAATCTATCTATGGTGGAAGGAAGTTAGCATCAAATCTCTATTCTATTAAACATTTTCCTACACAAATTGGGAAATGCATAACTGACTCCACCATTATTCTGTGGAACGAAACAGATGCTACAACGAAATTTTTTGTATCGACAAATAGGAAGATTCAATGCAAAGATCAATGGAACTCCGTT